TGTCTGGTGCGTGGATGCAGACTGTATCCTTTGATCGCAGAAACCAGTTTGTCTGTCCCATGTATTTTCTTCACAGTGATTCACTTGAGCTGATTCCTCCCAGCTGCTGCGCTGTTTCCTCTTGAATCATAGAATCGCTTGGGTTGGAAAAGACCTTTAAGAGCATCCAATCCAAACATTAACCTACACTACCAAATAATGAGGACCAAGAAGAGGAGCACGGGGGCGATACAGCGTGTTTAACTCTTTGTCCGTCTGTCCCTGACTCCATCTTTTGGGTATTTTTCTTCCTGGGCTGTTGTTTGGGATAACGTGCACAGCGTGCCCTGTCTGCTCTCGTTTGTGCGTCGTTGCTTTTGCTGTGGTGGCCCTGGGAGCTCAGGGAAGGTGTCCGAGTTGCGCAAAGTCTTCCGTCTCCAATGTGGGCAGCAGGCAGCGGAGACAAAAATGCGCAAAGGTTGTGTTAATGCAAGAGCTGCGACCTTTTTCTTTCATATTTCAAGAGGGATTTGTAATGGGAGCACTTGGACTCCGTGTCTGTCTGTACTGGAGTATTGCTGGTGCTGGAATGGAGCTTGTCCAATCTGTGTAATACAGCTTTTTAATCTTGTGCATAAATATTCTCTGGGAGTTTAGAGTAGCTTTCTGGGGCTGATAATGCACTGATATTCCCTAACTGATGACCTAGGGGACACACGACATGTGCTCACCGGCTCTGCAGACAACAGCTGTCGGCTCTGGGACTGCGAAACGGGTAAGACCCTTCTCTGCCCACGTAGCTGCCTTTGAGTCGCAGCTCTGTCCTGCCATGAAGTCTGCTAAGCTTGGAGGACGTGGTAGCAGCGTAACATGTGCTTGTTCCCGCCCCCCCCGAAAGAAGTCTGAATCCTAACTCAGACTGCTGGAGGGGAGGGTTTGTGTATGTGTCTGGTTTCTAGCGAATATTCAGTGAATTTACTCACTTTACCGCCCAAGTAGTCAAAACGTGCGGTTAGTGCTTGCAGGTCACTGGACCTGCTCATCAGCTACTCCCGATGCTCTCATTCTCCCCCTGACCCTGCCTGTCAGCTGCTCGTTTTCATTAACCTCGCGGTGCAAGCCCCGGTGAAGCGACTGACGGTTTCTGCTCTGTGTCCAGGAAAGCAGCTCGCTCTGGTGAAGACCAGCTCAGCGGTGAGGACGTGCGGCTTTGACTTTGGAGGAAACATCATCATGTTTTCCACGGACAAGCAGATGGGATATCAGTGTTTCGTGAGCTTCTTTGACCTTCGGGATCCCAGCCAGATCGGTGAGGAATCCGGGCCGGTGCCTGCACCAGGGAATAAGGGGAAGCATTGATCACTGGAGCCGGTGCCACTGTGTCTGTCTGTCTCCTTCCTTCCTTCCTGCAGAGAACAACGAGCCTTACATGAAAATCCCCTGCAGTGATTCTAAAATCACTAGCGCTGTGTGGGGCCCCCTGGGAGAGTTCATCATCGCAGGACATGAGAGCGGAGAGCTGAACCAGTTCAGTGCCAAGGTCAGCCTGATAAGGAACAGCATCTCCCTCGGGCAGCAGTGCCTGGGGGAGGATATTGCAGCGTTCCTGTTGTGGGCATGGGACAGACTAAGGGCCTTTTGGCTCAAACCAGCAGCCTCATGGAAGGATGCTTGAAGTATGCGGCTCCCTTGAGCCAGGCCGATGTACCAGCCTCTGCCCTGCTGCTGACAGCGACATCTCCTGAATTGTTTTTAACGGGGAAGTTGCATGTGCGCTCGCTTTGCTTGCCAGCACGCTGAAACTGCCTTCTTTACCTTTCAGTCAGGGGAGCAGCTTTCAAACATCAAGGAGCACACCAAGCAAATCAACGATATTCAGACCTCCAGGGACATGACCATGTTCATCACTGCCTCCAAGGACAACACCGCCAAGGTGAGGCGTCCCGTCAGAAACGCAGTGGACTGTTGGTGTTTGCTTGCAGGACCTCTGCTCAGAGCCGTGGCTATCGCAGAGGTTTGCTCCTTAGGAATTTGAGTAAGTGTAAAGTCAAAGCTTAGTGGGAAAGTTCACCGAGAAAGGGGAGGCACCACCACGTTAAATTAAGAGCCAGGCATTAGAAACAACGTTGCCAAAATTAAGGCTGCAGTTTGCTACTGCCGGAAGGTGATAGAGGTGAGAGTTACCTTAGGCCGGTATTCTGGGATTCTGGGGAAATGTTTTTGGGATTTAGGTGCCCATGAGTGACTACAGAGCTAACATCTGCCCAGGTGAGGACTAGCAGCCAGATTTGTGTGACTTAATTGGGCTGCCAGTGCTCTTGCAGAATAACTCTCTCCCTTTTGCCTCCTAGCTATTTGATTGCACGACACTTGAGCATTTGAAGACCTTCCGGACGGAGCGACCGGTGAACTCTGCTGCACTCTCCCCCATTTTTGATCACGTAAGAATGAGCTCACTCATTGTAACGGTCTTACTGCGACTCCCGCGTTGTCCCAGGTAGCTGGAAGGCAGAGCGTCGCCAGTACAGCTAAAAAACATGACCGTAGGATGGGTCTGGGGAACTGTACTGCAGTCTGGTGCAGGGAACAAGGCTTTGTGTCCTCTGATCTTCAAACGAGCGTGTCTGGGAGGCAGGAACTTCTTGGGGGCTGGAGTTGGGCCTGCTTGTGAGTTTGTGGGATCTGCTGCGTTAGCAGGAGGCTTCCCCAAGGCTTGGCTCTCTCCTCTACTGGCTGCTGCTGAGCGTGGTGTAAGCGGCACTGAAGTGTTGTGGCTTCTCTCCTTTGCAGGTCGTGCTTGGTGGTGGGCAAGAGGCCATGGATGTGACCACAACCTCCACCAGGATTGGCAAATTTGAGGCAAGGTTGGTCCTTTTCCTCTGGGAGAGTCAAGTCCTCACCTGGAAGACTCCTGACAGCTCAGGAGTGCTTGTCCCAGAGCATCTTGCTCCTGGCAGTGTTGGAGGAGTCATTAAACTTGCAGAGCTTTTTTGAGGAAACCCTGATCGTGTCCCTAACCAGGCTCCCGACTTCTTGTGATAATTTAAATCATCTTCCTTCTCCCAGGTTCTTCCACTTGGCTTTTGAAGAAGAGTTTGGCAGAGTGAAGGGTCACTTTGGTCCGATAAATAGTGTTGCTTTTCACCCCGACGGAAAGAGGTGAGGATCTCTGTGGGTCTTGCAGCGTGCCCCAGTCAAGCCTCGCCTGCCTTTTGGTTAGGATACACTGGGCTCAGGGGAGCTCTGCAGTGGGAATGGACCCAGCACCTTCCTTAACTCTCCTATCCCAGCCTTGCCTCCCCCCAGGCTGTCTGGGGGGTTCGCTTATGCCCTGTTGCACATTTTTGCTGCGTCACTGATAGTGTTTCTGTCCTGCGACTCCTTTATTAGTTTTTAGAGGGGGTTGTGAGAACAGACTCCGATACCGGTATAAACCTAGACACTGTGAGCTCCTGACTACATCGATGACTTTATCTTGTTTTTCCTCCCATACAGTTACAGCAGTGGGGGTGAAGATGGCTACGTTCGCATCCATTACTTCGATCCCCAGTACTTTGAGTTTGAATTTGAAGCTTAAAGGAGGACTTCCTCTCCTCTTCCACTCCATCGGCTCATGCGCAGAGCTGTTGTGAGGCCTGACGTTAGTCTGCTCCACGGGAGGCAGCGGGAAGCAGTTAGCAGCAAACTCGGGGGCTGTGTGAAGGTGGGGAACGAGAAACCCGGCTGGCTCAAAAGGGCAGGACTGGCTTTCACAGGAGGTAGTGAAGGCGAGGAGGGGATTTGGCTGCCTGCCTGCCCCCGGGGATGCTAGCTTCCTGCCCTGCTGGGCATATTTATACATCAGGGGAGGGAAAAAAAAAAAAAATCATCAGGAAATAAATAGAAATCTTTTATAAACCACAAGGAAAAGCACCTCTGTGGATTGTTCTGGGTTTTTTTTTTTTCCAGTCTGGAACAAAATTAACCTGAGGGCTTTGCTTTCCCAGCTCTGTTGGCAGTGCCGTGCTCCCCACCCGTGGGCAGACAGCAGTGCTGTTACTCCTGAGCCCTCTGCCCGCCCCAGGTTAACTCTTTCCCGGGG